CTGCAGAATACAATGCAGCATGCTGGAGCGGTCACTGCAGAATACAATGCAGCATGCTGGAGCGGTCACTGCAGAATACAATGCAGCATGCTGGAGCGGTCACTGCACAATACAATGCAGCATGCTGGAGCGGTCACTGCACAATACAATGCAGCATGCTGGAGCGGTCACTGCACAATACAATGCAGCATGCTGGAGCGGTCACTGCACAATACAATGCAGCATGCTGGAGCGGTCACTGCACAATACAATGCAGCTTGCTGGAGCGGTCACTGCACAATACAATGCAGCATGCTGGAGCGGTCACTGCACAATACAATGCAGGAGCGGTCACTGCACAATACAATGCAGCATGCTGGAGCGGTCACTGCACAATACAATTGCATGCTGATGATTTGTTTGATTATTTTTTTTATTGCACATTATATATAATTTGGCAATCATGGTGGGAATAGGAGAGCCTGCATGGGGTTTAACCCTTCCCAGCACAGCCCCAGTCTCCCTGCTGGCCATGTGGGGGGGTTACATTTAATAAAAGGCCTGCAGTGAGTGAGTCAGTGAGTGAGTGAGTGAGTGAGTGAGGGATATTATCATGCAGCCACATACCCAGTCTGCAGCCAGCTCCCAGGAAGGACAGGGCGAACCAAAACCTCCTCCTGCACACAAACTGCATCATCCTAAGGGGGCAGGGTCCCAAACTACACAACAGGAACTTCTCTCAGTGCAGGGGTGGGTCCAGCACCCACAAACACAGCGTGCCTGCTTTACCCTGCGGAAGGCAGCCAATCAGCATGGAGAGCCAAGGGCCTGCCAACCACAGCCGAGCGCCACGGATGCCAACCAAGGCGACGCGCAGAAGGGATCCACCAATCAGAAGAGCGTCGCGATGACGTCACTGATGACATCTGAAAGGGCTACTGAGGGCATGGATTACCGGGCGGCCATGTGTAATAAGGGTAAAGGCCAGTGTGGCCGTAGATTGGGCAGCATGCATGAAGGGGGAAAAGGGATGGCCCACAAACGGCATACTGTCTTATATGAAAAATGAATTTTATTATAAAATTAACTGTTTTGTTGTTTGTTTGTTTTTAAAAAAAGTAAAAATGACAAATGATGTAACGTTTACAAAAATTGCTAAATAGTTGCCCTGATCAAAGATGGCGTCTAACGACTTCAAGTTTCGGTCACGTGGGATACAGAGCATGATGGGCGGAGAGTTGGGTTCTCAGTCGGCGAATCAGTGCCGAGAGGCGTGGCATCGAGATCCAATCGGAAAGCTCTCTGTCTGGCAACTGTCAAAGCAGCGACAGGTCGGCCCAGGAGAGAGAGAGAGGGCGGCTTGTCTGGTACTGTGGGGGCTGGAGGAGGGGAGGGTCACGTGACAGCTTGTATACAGCCAGGAGTATAGACACTGCATGGAACACATAATATTATAACTGTCACTGCATGGAACACATAATATTATAACTATCACTGCATGGAATATATAATATTATAACTGTCACTGTCACTGGAATATATAATATTATAACTGTCACTATCACTGGAATACATAATATTATAACTGACACTGCATGGAACACATAATATTATAACTGTCACTGCATGGAATATATAATATTATAACTGTCACTGTCACTGGAATACATAATATTATAACTGTCACTATCACTGGAATACATAATATTATAACTATCACTGCATGGAATATATAATATTATAACTGTCACTGTCACTGGAATATATAATATTATAACTGTCACTATCACTGGAATACATAATATTATAACTGACACTGCATGGAACACATAATATTATAACTGTCACTGCATGGAACACATAATATTATAACTGTCACTGCATGGAATATATAATATTATAACTGTCACTGTCACTGGAATACATAATATTATAACTGTCACTATCACTGGAATACATAATATTATAACTATCACTGCATGGAACACATAATATTATAACTGTCACTGCATGGAATATATAATATTATAACTGTCACTGTCACTGGAATACATAATATTATAACTGTCACTATCACTGGAATAAATAATATTATAACTATCACTGCATGGAACACATAATATTATAACTGTCACTGTCACTGGAACACATAATATTATAACTATCACTGCATGGAACACATAATATTATAACTATCACTGCATGGAACACAATATTATAACTGTCACTGGAACACATAATATTATAACTGTCACTATCACTGGAATACATAATATTATAACTATCACTGCATGGAACACATAATATTATAACTGTCACTGTCACTGGAACACATAATATTATAACTGTCACTATCACTGGAATACATAATATTATAACTATCACTGCATGGAACACATAATATTATAACTGTCACTGTCACTGGAACACATAATATAACTGTCACTGTCACTGGAATACATAATATTATAACTGTCACTGTCACTGTAACACATAATATTATAACTGTCACTGTCACTGGAATACATAATATTATAACTGTCACTATCACTGGAATACATAATATTATAACTATCACTGCATGGAACACATAATATTATAACTGTCACTGGAACACATAATATTATAACTGTCACTATCACTGGAATACATAATATTATAACTATCACTGCATGGAACACATAATATTATAACTGTCACTGGAACACATAATATTATAACTGTCACTGTCACTGGAATACATAATATATAACTGTCACTGCATGGAACACATAATATTATAACTGTCACTGGAATATATAATATAATAACTGTCACTGCATGGAACACATAATATTATAACTGTCACTGGAATATATAATATAATAACTGTCACTGCATGGAACACATAATATTATAACTGTCACTGGAATATATAATATAATAACTGTCACTGCATGGAACACATAATATTATAACTGTCACTGGAATATATAATATAATAACTGTCACTGCATGGAACACATAATATTATAACTGTCACTGCATGGAATACATAATATTATAACTGTCACTGGAATACATAATATTATAACTGACACTGCATGGAACACATAATATTATAACTGTCACTGTATGGAACACATAATATTATAACTGTCACTGTCACTGGAACACATAATATTATAACTGTCACTGCATGGAATATATAATATTATAACTGATACCACATGGAACACATAATATTATAACTGTCACTGTATGGAAGACATAATATTATAACTGTCACTGTCACTGGAACACATAATATTATAACTGTCACTGCATGGAATATATAATATTATAACTGATACTACATGGAACACATAATATTATAACTGTCACTGTCACTGGAACACATAATATTATAACTGTCTCTGCATGGAATATATAATATTATAACTGTCACTGCATGGAATACATAATATTATAACTGTCACTGGAACACATAATATTATAACTGTCACTGCATGGAACACATAATATTATAACTGTCTCTGCATGGAATATATAATATTATAACTGTCACTGCATGGAATACATAATATTATAACTGTCACTGGAACACATAATATTATAACTGTCACTGCATGGAATATATAATATTATAACTGTCACGGTCACTGGAATATATAATATTATAACTATCACTGCATGGAATACATAATATTATAACTGACACTGCATGGAACACATAATATAACTATCACTGTATGGAACACATAATATTATAACTCTCACTGTCACTGGAACACATAATATTATAACTGTCACTGCATGGAATATATAATATTATAACTGATACTACATGGAACACATAATATTATAACTGTCACTGTATGGAACACATAATATTATAACTGTCACTGGAACACATAATATTATAACTGTCACTGCATGGAATATATCATATTATAACTGTCACTGCATGGAATATATAATATTATAACTGTCACTGTATGGAACACATAATATTATAACTGTCACTGGAACACATAATATTATAACTGTCATTGCATGGAATACATAATATTATAACTGTCACTGGAACACATAATATTATAACTGTCACTGCATGGAACACATAATATTATAACTGTCACTGCATGGAATATATAATATTATAACTGTCACTGTCACTGGAATACATAATATTATAACTGTCACTGCATGGAACACATAATATAACTGTCACTGTCACTGGAATACATAATATTATAACTGTCACTGCATGGAACACATAATATTATAACTGTCACTGTCACTGGAATATATAATATAATAACTGTCACTGCATGGAACACATAATATTATAACTGTCACTGTCACTGGAATATATAATATAACTGTCACTGGAACACATAATATTATAACTGTCACTGCATGGAATACATAATATTATAACTGTCACTGGAATACATAATATTATAACTGTCACTGCATGGAACACATAATATTGGACAGTTATAATATTCCAGTGACAGTTATAATATTATAACTGATACTACATTTAACACATAATATTATGACTGTCACTGTCACTGGAACACATAATATTATAACTGTCACTGCATGGAATATATAATATTATAACTGTCACTGCATGGAATACATAATATAACTGTCACTGTCACTGGAACACATAATATTATAACTGTCACTGGAACACATAATATTATAACTGTCACTGCACGGAACACATAATATTATAACTGTCACTGCATGGAATATATAATATTATAACTGTCACAGTCACTGGAATATATAATATTATAACTGTCACTGCATGGAATACATAATATTATAACTGTCACTGGAATATATAATATAACTGTCACTGTCACTGGAATATATAATATTATAACTGTCACTGGAATATATAATATTATAACTGTCACTGCATGGAACACATAATATTATAACTGACACTGCATGGAACACATAATATTATAACTATCACTGTCACTGGAACACATAATATTATAACTGTCACTGCATGGAATATATAATATTATAACTGATACTACATGGAACATATAATATTATAACCGTCACTGTATGGAAGACAAAATATTATAACTGTCACTGTCACTGGAACACATAATATTATAACTGTCACTGCATGGAATATATAATATTATAACTGATACTACATGGAACACATAATATTATAACTGTCACTGGAACACATAATATTATAACTCTCACTGTCACTGGAACACATAATATTATAACTGTCACTGCATGGAATATATAATATTATAACTGATACTACATGGAACACATAATATTATAACTGTCACTGGAACACATAATATTATAACTGTCACTGCATGGAATATATAATATTATAACTGTCACTGCATTGAATACATAATATTATAACTGTCACTGGAACACATAATATTATAACTGTCACTGCATGGAATATATAATATTATAACTGTCACTGCATTGAATACATAATATTATAACTGTCACTGTCACTGGAACACATAATATTATAACTGTCACTGCATGGAACACATAATATTATAACTGTCACTGCATGGAATATATAATATTATAACTGATACTACATGGAACACATAATATTATAACTGTCACTGTATGGAACACATAATATTATAACTGTCACTGGAACACATAATATTATAACTGTCACTGCATGGAATATATCATATTATAACTGTCACTGCATGGAATATATAATATTATAACTGATACTACATGGAACACATAATATTATAACTGTCACTGGAACACATACTATTATAACTGTCACTGCATGGAATACATAATATTATAACTGTCACTGGAACACATAATATTATAACTGTCACTGCATGGAACACATAATATTATAACTGTCACTGCATGGAATATATAATATAACTGTCACGGTCACTGGAATATATAATATTATAACTATCACTGCATGGAATACATAATATTATAACTGACACTGCATGGAACACATAATATTATAACTATCACTGTATGGAACACATAATATTATAACTGTCACTGTCACTGGAACACATAATATTATAACTGTCACTGCATGGAATATATAATATTATAACTGATACTACATGGAACACATAATATTATAACTGTCACTGTCACTGTAACACATAATATTATAACTTTCACTGCATGGAATATATAATATTATAACTGTCACTGCATGGAATACATAATATTATAACTGTCACTGTCACTGGAACACATAATATTATAACTGTCACTGGAACACATAATATTATAACTGTCACTGCATGGAACACATAATGTTATAACTGTCATTGCATGGAATATATAATATTATAACTGTCACGGTCACTGGAATATATAATATAACTATCACTGCATGGAATACATAATATTATAACTGACACTGCATGGAACACATAATATTATAACTATCACTGTCACTGGAATATATAATATTATAACTGTCACTGCATGGAATATATAATATTATAACTGACACTGTCACTGGAATACATAATATTATAACTGTCACTGCATGGAACACATAATATTATAACTGACACTGCATGGAACACATTATAACTATCACTGTCACTGGAATATATAATATTATAACTGTCACTGGAATATATAATATTATAACTGTCACTGTCACTGGAATACATAATATTATAACTGTCACTGGGATATATAATATTATAACTGTCACTGCATGGAACACATAATATTATAACTGACACTGCATGGAACACATAATATTATAACTATCACTGTCACTGGAATACATAATATTATAACTGTCACTGTCACTGGAACACATAATATTATAACTGTCACTGCATGGAATATATAATATTATAACTGATACTACATGGAACACATAATATTATAACTGTCACTGTATGGAAGACAAAATATTATAACTGTCACTGGAACACATAATATTATAACTGTCACTGCATGGAATATATAACATTATAACTGTCACTGCATGGAATATATAATATTATAACTGATACTACATTTAACACATAATATTATAACTGTCACTGTCACTGGAACACATAGTATTATAACTGTCACTGCATGGAATATATAATATTATAACTGTCACTGCATGGAATACATAATATTATAACTGTCACTGTCACTGGAACACATAATATTATAACTGTCACTGGAACACAATATTATAACTGTCACTGCACGGAACACATAATATTATAACTGTCACTGCATGGAATATATAATATTATAACTGTCACGGTCACTGGAATATATAATATTATAACTGTCACTGCATGGAATACATAATATTATAACTGTCACTGGAATATATAATATAACTGTCACTGTCACTGGAATTTATAATATTATAACTGTCACTGGAATATATAATATTATAACTGTCACTGCATGGAACACATATTATAACTGACACTGCATGGAACACATAATATTATAACTATCACTGTCACTGGAACACATAATATTATAACTGTCACTGCATGGAATATATAATATTATAACTGATACTACATGGAACACATAATATTATAACTGTCACTGTATGGAAGACAAAATATTATAACTGTCACTGTCACTGGAACACATAATATTATAACTGTCACTGCATGGAATATATAACATTATAACTGTCACTGCATGGAATATATAATATTATAACTGATACTACATGGAACACATAATATTATAACTGTCACTGGAACACATAATATTATAACTGTCACTGCATGGAATATATAATATTATAACTGTCACTGCATTGAATACATAATATTATAACTGTCACTGTCACTGGAACACATAATATTATAACTGTCACTGCATGGAACACATAATATTATAACGGTCACTGCATGGAATATATAATATTATAACTGTCACGGTCACTGGAATATATAATATTATAACTGTCACTGCATGGAATACATAATATTATAACTGTCACTGCATGGAATATATAATATTATAACTGACACTGCATGGGACACATAATATTATAACTGTCACTGCATGGAATATATAATATTATAACTGTCACTGGAATACATAATATAACTATCACTGCATGGAATATATAATATTATAACTGACACTGCATGGAACACATAATATTATAACTGTCACTGCATGGAATACATAATATTATAACTGTCACTGCATAGAATATATAATATTATAACTGACACTGCATGGAACACATAATATTATAACTATCACTGCATGGAACACATAATATAATAACTTTCACTGTCACTGGAATACATAATATTTATAACTGACACTGCATGGAACACATAATATAACTGACACTGCATGGAACACATAATATTATAACGGTCACTGCATGGAATATATAATATAACTGACACTGTCACTGGAATATATAATATTATAACTGTTACTGCATGGAATACATAATATAACTGACACTGTCACTGGAATACATAATATTATAACTGACACTGCATGGAACACATAATATTATAACTGTCACTGCATGGAATACATAATATTATAACTGTCACTGGAATACATATTACTGACACTGCGTGGAATATATAATATTATAACTGACACTGCATGGAATACATAATATTATAACTGACACTGCATGGAATATAAAATATTATAACTGACACTGCATGGAATATATAATATTATAACTGACACTGGAATATATAATATTATAACTGTCACTGCATGGAATATATAATATAACTGACACTGTCACTGGAATACATAATAGTATAACTGTCACTGCATGGAATACATAATATCATAACTGTCACTGCATGGAATACATAATATTATAACTGACACTGCATGGAATATATAATATAACTGTCACTGGAATATATAATATTATAACTGACACTGCATGGAATACATAATATTATAACTGTCACTGCATGGAATATATAATATTATAACTGACACTGCATAGAGCACATAATATTATAACTGACACTGCCTGGGCAGCATTGTGTTCAAATGCAATAAAGTAGCACTTACAGTTCGTTTAAACTGCTTATTGGTGAACCATTAAATGTCTTCTCTAGATTTGTGACCTTTGGTTTAATGGACAATGAAGGTGAAAGTGATTTCAGTCTTGGATGATAATTACATGTATCTGGTGATTGAAGAACATACTAAAGATGCCTTTGCTGTGGATGCTTCTGTGTCTAAAAAGGTGATAAACCCCTATTTTATCATAACGTGTTATTATGTATTTCTTAACGTTCTTGATTTTTCAGAATGTTTTAGCCTTAATTTTGCCATTTGTGTTTCGACAAAAACAGTTACAATTGTTCTTGTTTAGATCTTGGAAGGTGAAATCTATATACTCGTTCTCATAATCAAACCATTGCCTCAGATATCAATCAATGTTTCTTGACTACCTGTAAGGAGATTATATACCTAATTAATCTTTTTTTTTTATCCTACAGCTAATAGAGATTTTGCGGAAAGAAAATGCTAATTTAAAAGCCATACTAACCACGCATCACCACCTGTGAGTATCACGTTATATAACTGTTCACTAGGAGGGTGTCATTAAAATAAATACTGTAAGCATTTGAGGACACAAAACAACCGTTATTTTTTTCATTGACTTAACGCTCCAATTTAATCATAACTGTTTCTCTAAAACTGCAATGTTTTACACTGCAGGGTTAAGGGACCTGGGACACTGCACCCAGACCACTTCAATAACATGAAGTGGTCCTGGTGCCTATAGTGTCCCTTTAATATCACAGGTCAAATCAAAAGTTAGGTATCTTAAGTTAAAGTTGAACCGCATAAACACGGGGAAGAAAAAAAACTATTAAAAAAAACAGACGACGAAGATGATATGTTTTGTTGTTTTTTTAATTAAAAATGAGAGGACAAGTATAAGTGAGATGGGAAAAAGCTGATGTGGAAAGAAAGTTAGGGAATAAAAGTATTTTAGGAAGAGGAAGAAGGTAACATGGCTAAATAAGGTGCAGTGGAACCTTGGAACTTGAACTTAATCCGTTCCAGAAGGCTGTTTGAGAACCGAATCAACATTTCCCATAAGAATTAATGTAAATTTGATTAATCCTTTCCAAAATTGCAGAATTTTTACACAAATTTTACAGTTTAATACCTTACATGCATAAGATCCTATACAAAAAAATTATAAGCACAATGTACAGTAAATGAAAAGAAAATGTGACTTCACTTTACCTGTAATGATGAGAGTTGATGGCGTAAGTGCAAAGGAGAAGAGATATTAGTGTTTGGATGGAGACAGGTAACTGTTCTTCTGGCATTTAAATTGTGTCTAAAGTGAGACAGTTTTATAATTGAACATGTTTGTGGCATGATTTGTTCATGTACCGGGATATTTTTTCTCACTTCTTTTGTTCGACTACCAAATTGTTCGGGTAATGGACCGTTCGAGTTCCAAGGTTCCACTGTATAGAGAAATCAAAAGGTCCCATGTTTTTCTGCAAGTCACTAAGGGGTTGTGAAGTTGTCATCGTACTATAAATTTTACTCATTTTACTGAGCACCTGGGAGAAATAGAGGCTTTTCTACTTTGTAGATATGCATAAACAGGTGTCTGTATGTATCCAATATGCTACTTTTAAAGGAAGATCTTGGGTGGTTTTAGCGTTTTGCAGAACTGTTAAATAATACCAGGAGTGGGTCAGGAAGGAATGATCAATTAAATTAAGATTTGGAAAAATAAAAACTCTCTCAAGGTGGAATTATCTAGGGGCTCTGTGCTGCTATATGTGGGAGTAAGTTCTGGGGGCTGCACAACCCGAGAGGGACAGCTAGATATATTTAAAATGCAAATGATATAGATACCAGCCCTTACTGTTAGTTGTAAGGCGTTTCTGATGATAAAATCTCATGCTGTTTGAGAAACTTGGAAAAACAAAGGGACCAGCGCGCCACAATCACTATTGAATATTTATAATATATAAAACAAGAAAGTAGGGGTGATTTTGCGAGGGGAAATACGAAAGGCACATCATAGTGTTTAACTGTGTATAAACCTTTGTTGAAAAAAGTTCAATTGGCCACTCACACTTTTAATGCCAACTTCAAGCTTTCAGATAATCTTTAAAGAGACCACTCTCTTGCTTCGGAACCTTGACAGTCTCAGGATCATTTACAGGAAGAGAAAGTACAAAAATGTAGTGCAAATCTGAAAATAAAGTGCATAACAAATTTATTAGCCTACGTGTAATTTTAAAACAGGAGGTGTAGAAGTCAAAAGCATGGATTTGTTAGTTCTGTAGTCCTACGCGTTTCATCCCACCATGGATTTCCTCGGTGACACTGACTACTCTTGTGCAAATCACCAACAAAATTAAAAAAATTATTTGCCGCCACGCATGACGTCTGGGTGTTACGGCGCATGCATGACGGAAATGAAGCTACGAATTTAAACGCTGAACACAGGGATAGCAAGCTCCTGAGGAAGTCTCCTGAGAAGAAGCGCGTCGAGCAGCAGTAACGCAAAGTGAATAAGTGTGTTCTGAAGTCCAGCAGCAGTGATGTTCCGAGCTTTGGGCCCACAGAACAACTTCCATCATGGAGTGGACTGCACTTAAAGGACTTGGTGGGACTTTTGCATATTAATTTAATTATTATGTGCCACTTCTTCATGTGAGTGCGTTTGTTTTTACACATTTTATGTTCGTTAAAGGTTACCCTATGATTTTTATGTATTTTCTCTCTTTGAGATTTCAACACTCCAGCTGGTAATTATAAATATACAATAGTGATTATGGTGCCCTTGTCTCTTTATTTTTATCTTTTCTGTGATTTAGAGGTTTGGGGAGTGACCCTCTTTTCAGAGGCTGCCTGCACATATCTGCACTTTAACCCCCACTCACCAATTATTTGCATATACGTGGAAGATTAAATCTCATTCTCTCAGGTTTGACAGGAGATAGGCTTAGAGCCAAATGGAAGAAGTAAGGAGTATAGAGCAGAAATTAATACTGATTTGTTAGACCGTTTAGGTGATATTCCCCTTTTCAGATGCACAGGCACAGCTACTGCAGAACACCAAACTCCCGAACCGTATATAAGGGAATGCTCCAAACTCCCGAATTGCATACAAAATAGCACTCCAAACTCCCGAACTGGAACCTCATGAATAGCTGCTAGCAGACGAACAGGATAAGCCCCCAAGCAGCTTACACTCCTAGCAATCAGTCTCTAACAGCATACAGTAAATCCCCCCAAGAATGAGACAGAGCTCTGTGTTGAGGGTCAAGCAGTGGTCTGTTTAATGAGGGCTACCTGACCAGTATTTATGCAGGTCTCCCACCTGGTGGACACTCCCCTAGGGGACCAAATAGGAGACTGTGACAAAGGACAGACATGAACCAATGACAGACACACAGAGGTAAAACATCCCCACAATGCATCCTAACTTCCCTCCCTCTGTCCTGGAGATAATTGGGAAGTAATCCAATTATCTCCCAGGACAGAGGCAAAACTCCATTACCCACATGGTTACAATAAAACACTAAAACACAAAAAAATACAAAATATTACATTTATCACACAAAATATATACTTGCAACCCATCCCCAGATAGCTGGGATCTGAGCGCACAAAAGTACCGAATAGCGCTCAGATCCTATGCACACAGTCCAATCGCCGTGGAGTTAAAGTGTTCACAAAGTCTGTTCTCCATACGAATAGACTCCACGGGATGGCTATCTGGGGTAATGCTGTTCATACGGTTTAAACTACCGAACGAACAGGCATTTGGTTAACTGATCGAATGCAGAAGCAAGGAGGCTGAAGGCTCAGCGGTGTTAGCGCAAATAAGTGTCCGTTTACAGTTCCACAGTTTGGGTGCTGAACACTGCTGGCCGTTCGGGACTTTAAAATGCCCGCCGCCACGTGTTCGGCAACCGAACAAAGGCCACCCAGCATTCGTCAATTAAGCTGCGGTTAACCGCAGCTTCTGTGAGGTAAATTGCCGACACACTCCAGCTCCCAGGTGGCCCAGTCATACGTGCGATAGTTCGGTAGATTGAATCTACCGACCGCCGGGCAGAAAGGCACGAATAAGCCTTTTCTGCAGGGGAAAAGAAGTCTTTTAACATGGGGCCATAATCCAAAGGCAACAGGCGAGCAACCAGGCTTCTCCAATGCAATGTGGCGAGATTGGTCTCGTCACAATATTTTTTTTCTGACATTCTCAGAATTGTTTCCTTTCTGAAGGGATCACTCCAGAGACAATGTGGATCTTGTCCAGCGCTTCCCAGGCTTGCATGTCTATGGAGCTGACGATCGTATTAGAGGACTGACACACAAGGTGGTTCATGGTCAAGAAATAAAGGTAGAGTGCGATGTTTCTGTCTGTGGTACCTATATGTCACAACTCAGGTGTTTATCTAGAAAATCTGAGGTAAAGAGTGGAATAATAGGAAAAAATCTACATTGAATGCCATGGTTCTGTCTTCAGGAGGCACATGAAATACCAGAATGTATTTAGATGAATTTCAATCTATAAAACATGGAATAATACATTAAATACATACCATAGTAATGCTCTTATCTCATGACAGAACAGTTGAATGGATATCATGATTATCTTTTTGTGTCTGCAGTTTGGTGATATTAACGTGAGATGCCTTTTTACTCCGTGTCATACATCTGGACACATGTGCTACTTTGTGTGGGAGGATGGATGTCCGGACGCCCCTGCACTGTTCTCAGGTACCTATGCCTTTTTTTGTTTCTTTTATTTTCTTTATAGTGCCCTGTTGGGCATTAGTCCTCCACTCTTCTTATTGTTGAAAATTTTGAACAATAAATATAAAAAATAAATAAACCGTGCTTTCCTATGGTGTGTTTTCCTGGGGACACTGTAGGCACTCCCTGGGAGGAAGAGACGGGAGAGAAGCAGTTACGTCTGTCGCCATGGTGCAATGCACGCTGACCACAGATATGATTAATACACAGAATTGACATTAAGTAGCCCCGAACAGAGTATTTGGTTGCCTAAGCCATGTTTGCCAAGGGTACAACTTGCGCTCAGCACACAAATAAAAATATCTCTAAAATGTGCTGTTTCAAGCTGAAACATTGCGCATCCAGACTCCTACCATCATGTTGTTGGAGTAACCTTTTAAGTAGGTTAAAAATCAACCAGTTAAACAAAAAAAAATCTTTCTTTGCCAGCACAATGTCGACATTTGTGAAGTTTTGTACATGTCCAATATCAGCTGCTGCAAAACTACTCCCATCACCAAGGCCGGTGTACCAAAATTAATTTACAGCATCATTAAAAAATTATTTGGAATTTTAAATATTTTAGCCCAGTTAGCTTGCTTTTTGATTATAAGCTCATTTTGGACTGGGACCTCTTCACCTGTATGTCATACGTGTTTTGTTAAAAATAATTGTTTGTTTTGTTTACTGCATAGCTTGCGATATAAATAATTGTAATTTGCAGACAATCATAATATGTGAATTATATAGATATATTTCTCTTTTACTCTGTTATTTAGGGGATACTCTATTTGTTGGTGGCTGCGGGAATTTCTACGAAGGGACAGCAGAGCAGATGTACAAGAATCTGACAGAAACACTTGGAACTCTTCCCAAGGAAACCGTATGTTACGACTGTTTCTTAATGTGTCCATCAAACTACTAAATACAATTCTAGTTTATATTTACTGAGAGTTTACCAATTTTACAGCCTGTAATATGGAAGTCAGTGGCACCCAAAGGGCATTGTCCATCAGATTAAACATGGAGGCTTCTTGTAATGTACAGATGAATTATAATCTAGGAGCCATTAGATCAGGGGTGGAGAACCTTCGGCACTTCAGATGTTGTGGACTACACCCCCCATAATACTCTTACAGCCATAATGCTGGCAAAGCTGTAAGAGATGTAGTCCACAATATCTGGAATGCCAGAGGCTGCCTACCCCTCCATTAGATGCAGATATTTTGGGATCTTATGTGAGGGCCACCAAGCAATTTTGCGTGAGTGTATTATTCCAGATTTTCTTACGCGAGTCCTTCACTAGTAATTCACCTTCCTATTTTCAGCAAAAGCAAAATCTTTAATGAGACCCAAAGGGTATATTGTGAACTAGAATACAATACACATTGCGTGGGCGGCAGCCCCGAAACGTAGCTGTATAATACCATGAATTGGAAGTGTTGGACTCACCTAAGAGGTTTGCCTTGATGCGGTAGGTGAGCTTACACTTTAATGGGACAATGTAGGCACCCAGACCACTTCAACTAATTGAAATGGTGTGGGTGCAGTGTCCCTTTTGCACCTAGTGCTGCAATGTTAAACATTGCAGTTCGAGAAAAACTGCAATATTTACATTGCAACTCTACGTCCTCGCGCTCTGCTTGAGAACCTCCAGCGTCAGATTTTTTTCCCATAGGAAAGCAGTTGTTCAATGCTGTCCTACGGGGAGGGCTAATTCGCGCGGCATTTGCCGCACATGCACTTTACAGCCCACTCGTCGAGGGACGGAGGAGGTGGTGGTATTTAACCCTTATTTTACCCGGACGAGGGCGCGCGAGGGAGGTGGGAGCGATAGTGCTACAAATACAGCTTTGTATTGCTGGAACTATAGTATCCCTTTAATGGACATTCAGGCGGTACTGAACACCTCTGTTATCTAAATGCCCATAAGAATGGGATATTGCACAGGTAACCTTTTTTTTGGGTTTTGTATATGTATTTGGGCTGATGAATATTATAGCCATCGCTGCAATCTAAGAGTGGTGTGAGTTTGAGTGCAGGACTTCATTGTGTGTTTGTAAGTATTCCTGAATTGCCAACCTGTATTTTACAGAAAATATTTTGTGGCCATGAATACACTGTGAGAAATCTTAAATTTGCTCTGAAGGTGGAACCAGATAATGAAGATGTGAAGGAAAAACTGGCCTGGGCAAAGGTAGATGGTTCAAATATCCTTTTTCATCTGTGGCTAGAAACGTTTCCTCCCAATTTTGCCGGCTTTACTAAGGTTTTATATAGAAGCAGGAATGAAAGCATGCTTGTTGCAGGAGTAAAATGCATGTTAGAGAAAAAAAAAATAATCATCAAAAAGGTCTCCCACTAACCGAAAAGCAAAAATTCTTTAGTAGTATTGTCTCCTTTTCTTATCACTGAACTGCACTGTGCAGGTATCAGCCTGCTCCGATTATGTGGAATGTGCCTGTTATATAACTGGAAGGTCCCATCAATCAGTGGCTTAATACAGATTCGGAATGTATACAGTATTTTATATGTTATGCATTATGAAGAAAATGGTGATTTTCACTGTAGACGGAAATTGTTTTTTATATGTGTCGAATTAAAACAAAATAAATTATATAAAAAAAAAAAAAAAAAGTAGGTGTCACATTGTGTTTTTTCAGGCTCGCGATGAGGATGATATTCCTACTGTCCCGTCCAGCCTTGAAGAAGAATTCACTTACAATCCATTCATGAGAGTTCAGTGAGTATAAATAGACATGTCCATATCTGTCTTGTAAATGGTGTCCTTGTCTCTGACATTTCTTACAAGACAGCAAGTTTAAGAGTTGAGTCTAGCAAGTGAGTGCAGTGTTCAAGGGGCAGGTCTGAAGAAGGGATCCTCAAAGGTTACAGTTATTATTAACTACAAAAGACCTAATTTCAATGTCCGTTTTATTTTTCGTTGATCACATAAAATCTCCACAACTCTGATTTGTTTCAATGGGAATAAAAAACTGAAAAAGGCTGAAGATAGTTGTAGCATGTGTGGGACTCGAGATGCATGATGGCCATATTCAAAATATCTCCTCCATGGTACCAGATATGTATTTAGATTTATAGCTCTTTACCTGTACATTTTCCTAAAAGAATTGTCACTTCTATTGACCACATGTTCTCCATGGCATTTCCACAGCAGTGCTCTATATGCCCATGTGCCTTATGTATTGCATTGCATTGCATTGATTAATCTAATTTACATTCCGTGCCCTGTGTGCCTGGCGTGGTTAAGATAGAACAGAATTTTTTTTTTTTTTGCAAGCACGCTGTAATGTTTATGCCCTTCCCCTCTAGTGCAAGTAGTTAAACGCTTTGTATAGGGAGAGGTATTAGCAGTAGAAAGAGGGAAGTGCTCATGCCATTGTACAGAACACTGGTGAGACCTCACTTGGAGTATTGTACACAGTACTGGAGACGGAAGGATATTGATACCTTAGAGAGGGTTCAGAGAAGGGCTACTAAACTGGTTCATGGATTGCGGGATAAAACTTACCAGGAAAGGTTAAAGGATCTTAACATGTATAGCTTGGAGGAAAGACGAGACAGGGGGGATATGATAGAAACATTTAAATATATAAAGGGAATCAACACAGTAAAGGAGGAGACTATATTTAAAAGAAGAAAAACTACCACAACAAGAGGACATAGTCTTAAATTAGAGGGACAAAGGTTTAAAAATAATATCAGGAAGTATTACTTTACTGAGAGGGTAGTGGATGCATGGAATAGCCTTCCAGCTGAAGTGGTAGAGGTTAACACAGTAAAGGAGTTTAAGCATGCGTGGGATAGGCATAAGGCTATCCTAACTATAAGATAAGGCTAGGGACTAATGAAAGTATTTAGAAAATTGGGCAGACTAGATGGGCCGAATGGTTCTTATCTGCCGTCACATTCTATGTTTCTATGCTTTGCTAACAATTTGACAACTTACCTGGAGTCTCATGGATACCAGTCCCTTCCAGCTCCTACACAGACATTCTGTTAGGTCTTCTGAGCTAAACCTTGACGTACTGTCCAGCTCATTGTCTGAGAGCTGCATATGACCACTTAAACAGTGAACTAAGCCCTGCACTGCTGGGCTTGGCTAAATGAAGAGACCTTCTGGTTCTCATAAAGGAAGTGACTGGCACTTGGTAGACCCAGGTACATTGTCAAACTGTTAGGGCAGTCCTGGCACCATAAGCACTACAGAGCACTGACCATGACAAATGCCCCTGTTAGTAACACCATTGTTTTTGTCCCCAGATTAGTGGAGGGTGTAGTGTATAGTTGATCCCACTTATGTAAGAATGCCCAATGATGGCTGTGTTCTCATGCTATCTACGGCGTGTTTGTTACAGGGAAGAGGCAGTCCAGAAATTCACCAGGAAGACGGATCCTGTTGAAGTCATGAGGGTTCTACGAAAAGAAAAGGACAATTTAAAAAAAAAGGATCAGATGCCAATTCCATCAATCCTTGCTTTTCAGCTGAGTTTGCTCAGCAGATCTCAACCTGCCAAAGAATAGCTGCATTGCTTTCCCTGGACCTGGACCAGATTAGTTACCCGCTGTCAACAGATCTTTATTATTGGTGCATTTAGCAATTTAACCATGATTGTAGGATTTCCTGGACACTGGTGGATCCTGCTCACTGCCAATACAGGGTCATTATCTTTCTATAAAGCTACAGCCGTACCTTTTAAAATCACTACATGAAAACTTTTCCTGCTGCTGGTTCCATTAAAGGACCACTATAGGCACCCAGACCATTTCAGCTTAATGAAGTGGTCTGGGTGCCAGGTCCATCTAGGATTAACCCTTTTTTCTATAATAGCAGTTTCAGACAAACTGCTATGTTTACCTATGGGTTAATCCAGCCTCTAGTGGCTGTCTCATTGACAGCCGCTAGAGGCGCTTCCGCACTTCTCACTGTAATTTTCACAGTCAGAAGACGCCAGCGTCCATAGGAAAGCATTGAGAATGCTTTCCTATGGACTGGCTGAATGCCCGCGCGGCTCCTGCCACGCATGCGCATTCAGCTGATGACGTCGCTGTGGAGGAGGAGAGGAGGAGGAGAGTTCCCCGCCCGGCGCTGGAGAAAGAGGTAAGTTTAACCCCTTCCTCCCCCTAGAGCCTGGCAGGAGGGGGACCATAAGGGTGGGGGCACCCTCAGGGCACTATAGTGCCAAGAAAACGAGTATGTTTTCCTGGCACTATAGTGGTCCTTAAAGCACATGATTAACTCTGACACCTAGCAATCCACAGGTAAATATTCAACACAACGGGATGATTTATTTTTTATGTGGATTTAAAAGAACACTATAGTGCTTGTTTTTCTACCTATTAAGGTTCAGATCCCCTAAACTAAATAAAAAAAAAAATTCTAGCCGCCTGCTCTGCCTCCTGGGATGCCGTCCTGCAGGTGTTGCTTGCTTGGCTTCTCGTCCAATCCAATGCTTCTTATAGAGAGGCATTAGGGACAAGAAGTACATGCTCTGTGAGTATCACGCTCGTCCAATCAAATGCTTCTCATAGGGAAGCATTGAATTCAATGTGCTCATGCAACAAGGACGTTGAAACATTGATCTTACTTGGTTATAAGTGCCTCTAGTGGTTATCAGGAAGACAGGCAGGTGTGTTTAGTCCCGCATTCAGAACATTGTATCTACTAAACGCCAATGGTTTAGATTTCAGGACTCTACACTGCACTGAGAGTACGTGGTCTGGGTGCCTTCAGTATATCAGGCTTTATTCACTAGTCTGGATATTGTGTAAATTTCAGTCCAAAATAGCTACATTTGAAAAGTAACTAAATTGAAAAATGTTTTAATTTGCCTTCCTTGGTGTAATCCAGGGGTGCCCAAAAGGTTGATGTTGCAGAACTACATCTCCCATGATGCTTTGCATGCCTTTAGAATGACAAGGCATCATGGAGGTTGTTGTTTTAAAACATCTGGGGATCTACCTTTTGGGCAGCCCTGGTGCAAACCTTGCGATACCCTTGTCATTCCTCTATAATTACCAGTCTATTGCATAAAAACATGGAGATATCTCACACATGAAGGCTGTATTCTGCTAACACTAATAACTGAATAACATTGACATAAATGGGACATTTCTTTTCAGTGATCAGGGGTATAATTTTAGCTTATAAGAGAGTTTAACCTTACGTCTGTTGCCATTGCTTCTCACACACAAAGAGTACACTTCAATAGGACTGCCAGAGCATATATTTAATTCCTATACCCATTGTCCACACATGCCTTCTACCAGTTTAAAGGGACACTATAGTCACCCAGACCATTTAATGGCTTTAGAAGTGGACTAAGTGCAGTGTCCCTGTCACACTTAGCCCTGTAATGTGAATCATTGCATTTTTCGAGAAACTGACATAATTGCCTTGCACAACTAAGACTGCCTCAAGTGACTGTCAGAGAGCCACTCGATGCACTTCCTGGATGCTAGTGGTCTTTGGGTCCCCTAAATGACACTGGACGTCCTCATGCTCTGCCCAAGGGCGTCCAGCATCAGTAAAATCCCCATAGCAAAGCCTTAATTCATCGCTTTCCTTTTGGGAGGGCCAAATGCGCTCACATGACTCGCATGTGCATTAGGCCCCCCCCCCCCCGTCAGAAGAGGCAGAGCACTGACCCACCTCCGAGGGACGCCAGCGATGGAATCGGGTAAGTGACTAAAAAGGGTTTTCTTTTTAACCCTTTAGCTGCCGCAAGAAGGGGAACCAAAATGCACTATAGTGTTAGGAATACAGATTTTTATTCTTAACACTATAGAATCCCTTTACCATTAAATTGGTGCTGTCACCTAAAAAAAACAAACAAAAAACATTTATTCTTGCAGATGATAGATATGCTTTACCTATGAATGGAGATTCGCAAAAAATGCCACAAAATGCTGCTGCTAGTGTACATAGTCTTTTGTTTGAAAACGATGCTACTTAAAAGGGAGAAAGACCATTAAAATATTACATGTGAAATCTAAGAGAGGATGTTTGTAATCTATGCTTACTATATTGCAAATAATTCAAACAACTGAAATACTTTGAAATCACATTGTGGGGGAGAGGTTTCCTATTGCTGTGCCTTATGTAGCCATTGTCTCAATGGAAAAAAATAAAACCAAAATCACTTGAAGGAACACTGTACTATCTTTCCGTGTGTTACATTTCTGCTGTATTTTATATATATATTTATATACTGTATAGCACCAAACACAATTAAAATGATTTAATTATTAGTAAAATTTAAATTTTCTTTTTATAATTGAAGTTTATTGTTTTACATTCAGTTAATACAGTTAGTACATCTTCGATATTCCACATTAACATTGCCACGTTTTTCGGTATACATAGTGTAATATTTACATTTTAATAAAATAATTACCTTGTTTTCTTACCGTTGTTTAGGTGACCTCACTGCATTATGTCCTGCCCCTTTTCGCGTCATCAGTGACCTATTGTTCTGGTCCAATCACTAGCTTCTCATAGAGAAGCATTGCGGACCATACGCGCATGTGCGGCACATGTTGCTATGCGCCAATCACATCACACTCATAGGGAATCATTGTGTTCAATGATTCCCTATGAGAAACTCCGAACGCTCTATTGCGCATGTGCTCCCTTTGCACGTTCACGAGCAGTGAGCTGAATCATAGATCGGCTCACTGCCGTGAAGTAGTCCTCAATATTGCAATTGTTCAAATAGATGCCTATTTTCCTGCCAAAATTACAATGGGGGTGACCTATTGTCCCTTTGCCCCCTGCCCCCACCCATGAGTGACGGGTTGGGGGGCCTAACATGAAACAGGGGGACCTATTGTCCTGGCCCCCACCCATGAGCGGCGGGTGAGGGCCTAACATGAAACAGGGAGATGGGGGGAAAACACCTATTGCGGCAGGTGGGGGCCTAACATTAAAACAGGGAGAGGGGGGACACCTATTGTCCCGGCCCTCCCCCATGAGCGGCAGGTGGGGGCCCAAAATTACATTGATGGGGGAGGGGGGGTACGACGACCTATTGTCCCTTTCCCCCTTGCCCTAAGATTATACGGGGGACCTATTGTCCCCTCGGCCCCCACCCATGTGCGGCAGGTGGGGGTCCAGAATTACAATTTGGGGAACCTATTGTTCTCAGTCCCCACCCATGGGCTACGGGTGGGGGCTACGTGAAAACCCCGACAAGGGGTCACAAGGCCCCTAGTCACCACCCCCCTTTAATTAAACTACCTACCCCCCTCACCCTAAAAATAGTGAGAGGGGGAACAATAAATAAAAAATAACTTACCATTAGATGTCTTCTTTTTTCTAAAAGCCAAATTAAAAAATTAAAATCCATAATTTCCGTGGAACTTTTAAAATAAAATAAAAATAACCCGAGCACAACCCCCCCCCCCCAAAAAAAAAAAAACACTGAAAAAATAATCCATCTTCACCCAGCGAGGGCACCGCGCAGACTGAGCTCCTCAGGGCGGGGAAAGGCTTATGAAGCCTTCCCACACCCTTCAATTTGACTCAGAGCACTCTGATTGGTTGGCTTGGAATCCAACCAATCAGAATGCTTTGGGAAAATTCTTTGGAATTTTTCCATGCTGTGTAATTTGACTCATAATACTCTGATTGGATTCCAAGGCAACCAATACGAGTGATCTGATAGGTAAATAGTGAGCCTACCTGATTGGGTACTTGTAAGGCTCAAACAGTAATCTGGGCCATAATCTAACCACTCACACTACAGATAATAACCCTGACCCTAATCCTACAAATAACATTGCTCATAATCCCACCCATAAATCATTTTACTCCTAATCTCCAAGTTTTCAATAATAACCTTGGTCTTAATAGGTTTTTATACATTTAATTTATATAGTAGTTATACAAATGTCCAGTTCTGAAGACCAAATACATAAAAATTAAGAAATGGAAATACTGGTAAATCATATACTTATTTTATTGGGAATGAAAAACTACATATAAATATTATAAATAGTTTTATTTTGTTAAAAAAAAAATAAAAAAAAAAATTGACATTGTAATACTATTCCCTTAAATGAGATATGGAATTTTAGGAATTTGTGCTTCTTTACTTTATTTTTATTTTTTTAAGACCCAAATTTTCAAATTAATTTTATTTCCCGTGGCCACAAGTGGGGGTGAGTTTCACTTACCGCTAATAGTTCCTTATTGCCTCCTCCATATGAATGTTCAGGGTAGTTTTCTGTTTCTTGCGCTTGAGTTGCCCTAAACTTTGTCAATGCTTGACTCGTGCAAATGTTTATGGAGGTTCACAAAAATCACTCCATAGACCGTGCAAGAATCTCACATCTGTTTTATGTGACAGCTGTTTTGATTTGACAAAATTTAACTATATTTCCTCCTTTTTGAAAAATGCAGGTTTATTAAAAGCTGAGACATAACTAAAATCCACGGGGATCTGGTGCGCAAATTGCCTAATTCCCCCTCCCCTGCAGCCTCTCCATGTGCCTCTCTCCCCTACTGTACCTGTTCACTGCAGTACCCATCTGACACAAGTGCTTTCGCAGTGAGTACTTTCTGACAGACCACATACAACAGCGGGCAGGAGTGAAGCTGCAGAACAGCTCTTCCCCTCCAGCAGGTAAACATGTGACTGCGATCCCTGGTTGATGCTGTAGAGCAACGCCATTGAAGGTATGCCGGCACCAACCCTGGAGTGAAGGGCCAGGATGCTGCTGTGACCCCTCTTACCGTGTTACTTACGCCCCTGACTATAAGACAAATTAGTAGTAACTTTTTTAACCGTTATAAATAATGTTAAATTCCGTTTAATAATTTAATTGTAGTTAGCTGAAGTTCACCAGCGAAGACAAGCTAGAAAATGTCCTGCAGAATGGACAGACACCTTGTCATGGGATCCTGTATCTTCCCAGAAATCGACTCCTACAACATCTACACCAACACAGCCAAGCAGAATAGGAAGAGATGATTGGTGGAAATGTGGAAATTGCGAAACGATGCCCACTGAGGGAGAATGCATCTGCCGCACGGAAATTCAAAAATATTTTTGAAAATATTGAAGAAAAATCAAAAGTTTATCTGTGACGCAAAATATCTAAAAAAAAAAAATTGGTCTCTAGAGAACACATAATAGAACTATGCAGATATGGATTGAGTTTCCAAAAAAGCAAACATTTTATTTCCCTTTCAAATTTACAGGACAGGTGAGATGAATTAATCATAGATATTTTTTAATCAAAGTGTTAAATGTATTTTTAATAGGGCAGAACATCAGTGCATCTCTATGGGGAGTGTTCAGCACCTCCATGCAGAGCGTTGAGATACACAACATAGGTGCTGCACACTGTACAGCATTAGGGACTAGGAAGCAGCTCTAGTGGCTGTCTGAGTAAATGCTACCTTTCTCTGAAAGTGCTTAGCCTACAGGGACAGGCTATAGATACCATAACCACTACATTAAACTGTAGTAGTTCTGGTGACTATAGTGTCCCTTTAATACAACGTCTTTTTCTCACCGGTCAACTCTAAATTACAGGGAGAGCAGGAGACACAAGTGAAGATGCATTTTGTTTGTGTACTTCTCCCACAAGCTCCTTTGTCTCTTTCTCCACTTCCCCAGCTCTTCTGGGAGTCTTTTTCCCCGGCCCCAGCTCTCCATGTGTCTCATTAGCTGCCTCAGCCTCAGCCCCTCCATTTGTCTAATTAGACCTACAGCCCTCCATGTGTCCCGTTATTCCCCACCCAGCTCTCCCTGTACCTTGCTGTAGCGTGGTCGAGCAGGCAGACCGTGGTGGAGGAGCTCCTGGTCACTGTACCCGGTCTGACAGGAAGCAGTTCTATGCTCTCAGTAAGCACTTCCTTTCAGAATAGCTAGAGGAAGAGAAGCTCCTCTAATATAGTCTGCATGCTCGGCCACGCTACATTCTGTGACCGGCAGGAGGGGAGTGCATCCCGCTGGTTATCCTGTAATTGCACCCTGCAGCCCGGGCCAGTGCACACTAGGCAGCCGTGCACACTAGGCAGCCGTGCACACTAGGCAGCCGTGCACCGGCCCGATAGTGTGCTGACCCACCATGAAATTTAACGTTATGCTGGTAGGCCAGTCCGGCCCTGGCTGCATCAATACATGCATTTCACCTTGGCACAAAAGCAGCCCAAGTGGATTCCTGGGCCTACTATCAGATGCCAATCCAAGCCTCGGGGAACTCTTTGGTGTTGACTCAAGGAACGTTCCCCTCTTCACTTTCCTCATCACCTATTATGCCGACTATGGGATGAAGATCTCAGAAAACACATAGCACAGCAGGAGTCAGATATTGGGTTCATGCTGCAGAAACCTGTGCAACCTTGTCTAGGGGTTCACACTCTTGAAGCCTAACACCTAAGCATGTTTTGCCACTAGCGCCTTCGCCGGCTCAGCCTAACTTACACCTGAGTTATTCTCGCACATTATGCTTATCGTAATCATAGTTTTTACCCTCATGATATGATCATTTATACAGTTTCATAACCTGTCTATACTTACAACGTCAGAAGGCCAATCCCGGCAAAACTTTCTCTGATCTATCCTGTGACATAACCACTTGATGTTTCAAGTTCTTTTAACTACTATCTTTTTACACACAAATGGTGCATCACCCCTATGTTGTTTGAAAAAATGATATATAGTTTTTGTGCATATATTTTTTAAATCTATTGATTTCATATTTTTAATGACTACAGGAAGACCGCATATAGTGCATTCACAATCTGGATATATGGTTATCTTGGCCCAAGGAAAAGAAGAGTAATACCATCTTGCGTTGTACGTTTCATCAGAGAAAATGTTCCATCACCAAAGAAAAGTGTATATTTTAAGTGCTACAGCAGATGCAAATGCAGTTGGTTTATCTCTAAATATTTAAATTATACTGTATATGCATTTACATGTTACATATATTTAGTAGTTTTTTTAATATTCTTTATTTTTGCGTGCGTAAAGAAATAGACAGTTACATTTGCGTTTGCAATGTCCCAATAGCATATACACGCACTAAGACATCATACAGCGATTAATCAAGGCATGGCAAGGGAAAACACAATGCACATTTTTATATGGTAGTGTGCAGGATAGGTTTAAGCATGAGAACAGAGCTAGAAAAATGATTGTCTATGGCGACATAAGCTTGGTAACTATAGTCACTGAGATTGAGTAAAATTTCTCCCGGGAGGCCCCCCCTGG